AACATACTATTTTATCTTTATTCTAGCATGTTCAAGGCCTTGGGTTCAATTCCCAGCACAGCAGAACAAAAGTTGTAGTGATTACTATAAATATTTTTCTCTGGACTTACAGATATTGTTAAAATGAATGAAAAAAAAAAGGAAATCTGAAAATTATAGAAGAGACTGGGCGCAAGGCCTTGGGTTTGATCCCCAATGCAACACAACAACAACAAAAAAAAAAACACAAGAAAATTATTGTAACAAAGGGGAAAAATAAAAGTGTAAGTATACCCCTTAGTGCAAAAGCATTCTTTGGACTTATTCTAACAATCCACAAAGTTGCTAAAAAGGAAAAAAATAATTCAGATAAGAAAATATATCCCACTTTTATTAAAAGCAAAAGCATAGGGCTGAAGTTGTAGCTCAGTGGTAGAGCACTTGCCTAGCACATATGAGTGAGCCACTGGGTTTGATTCTCAGCACCACATATAAAAATAAATAAAGGTATTGTGTCCATATACAACGAAAAATACTAAAAAACCCCCAAAAAACAAAAAACAAATGCATAGAGAACTACATTTAACAAAGAGTGAAAATACTACTAAAATTTGTAACCTAAAATGAAAAATATTGGAACGACTTATCTTCTTCAGTCTAGTTTTTATCCCTGACTGCCTTAATCTCATTTGTAAAATTCCAGGTTTTCCACATCCCCATATTTTTCCTTGTAAACTTATCTGCTCACCTATGTCTTTTTCCAGTGCTCTGGCTAGTTCCTCAACAGTCATTCCAATCCATACTTCTACCTCCTTTTTAGTTTTTGTTGAAGACAATTGAGATTTCCTTGGTCTCTTTTCCTATTTTTTAAAAAACAGACAAATAAGAAGAAAAAAATTTAAGTGACAATTCAGATTTATTCTGGAATACCTACCATGATCACGACTACTATTTCTATCAATAAACACTTCCATAAGTAGTTAAACCTTAAGCTAAAATTTTAAAATCCTGCATCCTTTATTCATTGTTTTATAATGATCTCTAGGTCATCAAATTCACCAGCATTACCAAACAACAAACCAGAACTTCCCTTCCTCACCAAGATCTCTAGCCTAGAGTACAGCATTAAGTAATAAAGATACTACAAATGACAAAATACTAAAAATGAATTTCTACTCCTCTTTCGAAGCATTTTAATATCAGGCTAAATAATATTATAAGAGATAAAAATCTGTAACTACCTCCTTTGTTACTAGAAGCCTGTATTGCGATAAAGTAGCCCCAATGAGCACATCTGTTTGCCATGGCCAGGCGTACATCTGAGCTGTCCACACTGGGTAAGCAGATGAAAATCCATGCCTCCACTGTACTAATGTTCTTCTTTGACCCAGGCTGTGCAGCTGCCTACAAACGGTGTGATATTTATAGGTCTGAAGAAAATGTAGCAAGTTCTCCAACTTTAGTAGCTTCTGATTCATGTTTTTCCTAAAAAGAAAGACTTAAAAATAATGTTTGGATTAACATTTAAATCAAGTTAGCAAATATATTAATTGAACATCTACAACATGTCAAGCACTGTACAAGGGTATTAGAGTACAACAGTGAGTAAAACTGGGTTCCTGCCCTGAAGGAGCTCAGTCAAGTCAAGAGAAGGGATTTTTCTAAACTGTATATTTGAAGTCAATTACTTCTGCTAAACACCCTCTGATGACTCCCCATTAGCTAGTACAATGTGCTAACATCCTATATAAGCTCTCACTTTATCTCTTACACTCAGAAAATCTCCCCACTCCTATCTACCAAGCTTTTATATTCTCACCCACCTATAATCTCTAATTGTGTCCATCTACAACTAAAAAGTAAAATAATAATAATAATAATGTGTATCTTTTCAGACCTTTTCTTTATGCTTATATCTACTTAGAAAAAAATGAAGTCATACTATGTGTATAATTTTTCCCTAAAAAATATATTGTAAATAGTGTTTTATATCATTAAACATTATTCTTTAACATTACCAAAAGAAAAAGAAAAAAAAAAAAGTAAAAGAAAACCCAGGCAGAGTGGAACATGCTTGTAATACCAGCTTCTCAGGAGGCTGAGGCAAGAGGATTGCAAGTTTGAGGCCAACAAGTTCTGGCCAACTTAGGGAGATCCAGTCTCAAAATAAAATCTTAAAAAAGGGCCAGAGAGGGGCTGGGGCTGTTGTGGCTCAGCAGTAGCACACGTGCCTGGCATGTGTGAGGCACTGAGTTCGATTCTCAGCATGGCATACAAATAAATAAAAATAAAAGTCTATCAACAACTAAAAAAAATTTTTTTAAAAAAGGGCCAAGGATATGGCTCAGTGATAAAGTGCTTGCCTAGAAAGGCCCTGGGTTCAATTCCCAGTACTTAAAAAAAAAGAAACATTTCAATGTGTTTACCGTAACTATATAATTTATAAAGCTATCTTGAACAAAATTCTCAACTTTTACATTGCCTTAAAATACTTTTAGCTAGGCGTAGTGCCACAGGCCTATAACACCAGCTACTCTGCAGGTGAGGCAAAAGGATCACAAGTTTGAGGCCAACCTCAGCAACATAGTGAAACTCTATCTCAAAAATAAAAAAATTATAAAAATTTTTAAACTGTTTCTCATACAATATGGTATTTCTACAATATGCTTATAGTTTAATTACAGAATTACAATAAAATATAATTACAAAACATTTTCATAGAAATTAAATTCTTTTAAAAAATATTTTTAGTTGTAGATAGACACAATACCTTCATTTTATTTATTTATTTATTTATTTTTATGTGTTGCTGAGGATCAAACCCAGTGCCTCACACATGCTAGGCAAGCACTCTATTGCCAAGCCACAACCCCAGCCCCATTTATTCTTTTTTTTTTTTTTTTTTTTTTTTAAGAGAGAGGGAGAGAGAGAGAGAGAATTTTAATATTTATTTTTTAGTTATCGGCGGACACAACATATCTTTGTTTTGTATGTGGTGCTGAGGATCAAACCTGGGCCGCACGCATGCCAGGCGAGCGCGCTACCTCTTGAGCCACATCCCTAGCCCCCCATTTATTCTTTACATATATTTTCTACTATATACTCTTTAAAATTCTTCAGAAATGATTAATAGTTACAAGATATGATCAAAGAAACTGGGGCCTGAGCAAGTGAGTTTTGTTACAAAACTAGACAGTAAAGTAAAAATTAAATGTTACATTTTAACCAATCTTCCCCATATGAATTTTATGTTCCTGAAACAACAAATAGAGTTTTTGCTTGTTTGTTTTGTTTTGGTACTGAGAATTAAACCCAGGGGTACTTATCTACTGAGCCATATCCCTAGCTCTATTTTTCATTTTGAGAGATGGTCTCATTAAGTTGTTTAGCGCCTTGCTGAGTTGCTGAAGCCAACCTTGAACTTGCAATCTTCTTGCCTCAGCTTCCTGAGCCACCAGGATTACAGGTGTGCCCTACCGTCCCAACCCTGAATATTTGTTTTCAAACAAAAGAAATGAAAAAGGTGCAGTATAGTGAACAAAGTACCTGACTAGACAACAAAAGAATCTTGGATGGATACCTGCTCTGACATTTGGCAGCCCAGTGTTGTTATCTTGACTGAGTAAATCACTTCTTTCCTATAAGCCTCATTTTTTTCTGATCTCTGTAAAAAGAAAAGAAAAAATTGATTTAATGTCTGTCCTTCCTTCCACAAGGCTACAAAGAAAAAAAATGAGGTGATGTATATACTTTGTCACCAGCTATTTTAAACTACATTATATCATGGGTTTTTTTAGTGATAGTTTATATGCTTTAAGGATTAATTACTTGTAAGTTAAAAATATTCACAAGTCATTATCTTGTTTATATACAGATGATTCTGAGAGGTGTGTGTGTGTGTGTGTGTGTGCACGCGCGTGTTAAACAGAGTTAGCAAGTTACCTTAAAAAATTTATTCAAGTAAAGATCAAAAGAAATGCTGACTTAATTTCAAAGAAATAAACACATTAAGATTTAGAAATTCATTCATACATTAAACACTTCAAGAACTGCACGTTTAAAATCTTTTTTAGGTATGTACCCCTAATCTAAGAAGTAAAAAGTGCGCAGGGAGCACAGGCTTCCTTGGGAAATTATTTTTTTAAATTAATCTGAAAACAGATTTTACAAGGGCATTGATTCAAGGAGTAAGAGGAAAGACCCTACAAGATATTAACCTAAATCCAGGTATGTAATTGAGGTAGGAATTAGAAAGACACATTGGAGGCAATAAACCAAACGTCAAAACTGGAAGGAACCTTGGTTGTTATATACTACAAGACCCTCGTTTTACAGCAAAGGAAACTGGAATGCATGCAGAGGGGTCAAAAATACTTCTACAATGTCATACCGCTAGTTAGTGGCAGTCGGGACTAGAACCCAGGTTTTCTAACTCCCAGTTCGGTGCTATTTTGCCGCAAGGGTACTGGTGTGGGGAAACTAAAAAAAAAAAAAAAAAAAAAAAAAAGGACGGTGGGCCTACGTAACTGCACCAGTGGGAACGTCTACTTAAGAGCTGGAAACTTAGGAGCTTAAATGAAAAGAAAAGGAAGTCGGTGTAGAAAAATTACGAATGTGGGGTGGTTTCGCCTCAAACTCGAATCCAGAAAGGCTTTTGCAAACAGGAAGAGTAAAGACCGGCACCTCCGAGAGGAAGCAAGCCGCTGGCGGTTTCTCCAGGAACGATGAACAGGATTTGGTGAATGTCTAAGTGGAGGTCACGCAGGGACGAAATGCATCTTGGAAAGGCTTCCGAATGAGCAACGTTCATGAATTCGCGTGATTTATGCCATTGACATTTTAGACCAAATAATAAACGCCACCCGGAAGACCCTGGCTAAGGAACCCCACTCACTCTACTCCTACAAGAGGCTCTGGGCACCACGATTCTGATTCCAGTCGGAGATCACCATCCGGACCCAGAAGAAGTGTCCATCTGAAGGTCCGTACCATAAACGGTCCCCGTCGGGCTTCCGGTCGTTCCGGAAGTGGTTTTCCCCCGAATTCTAAATAGTCGCTGTCGCCCCGAACTCTGGCTGTCCGACGTGTTGTGATGGTGCAATCAGGGGTCTCCTTCCAGGATCCACCGCGTGTGGTTTGTCGCGTCTGCTGCACGTTTCCCTTTTTAACAAATTACTGCTTCTCCGGGATTGTTTGTGGCTGCAGTGTCTACACCGGAGGGAAAACTAAACGAGGAAATGTGAGAAAATGCTGTCCTTCAAAGACACATGTAACTAACAAAAAGGAAAAAGTTCAAGGAAAGGTGGCGATGGTGGTACTGTACGAGGAGTTCTTTCGGAAGTATTTCGGACAGAATTTATAGTAGAGCCAGGGAGCTTGGGTTCTTAACCTGATTTATTTCCCATATGTACGGAGGTGTTTTGTCAACTTTCTTTGCCTCACTTTCCTCATCTGTAATATGGTAACGACAGAAGCTATTTCACAGGATCATAGTAAGGTTTAGTGATTTGATAAAGTGTTGATAATAGCGCATAGTTCATGTAAGTGTTTACTCTTGTGATTTTTAAGCCACCTCCCACCTATATGCCTCACTTTGAGGAGAGTGTCTTTGGGCCCGTTCCCTTGACCACAGCCATCACCGCCTCTGACTGTTAAGTGTTTTGACATCGAACACTGCCATAGTTAATGGCTTCAATAAGTTAACTCTTATATAGAAGATTTTACTTACTCAAAAGCCTGCTTTCCTTTATTTCTCCCATAATGTAACCTCCTAATTCATGCCTCTACCCACCCATCTTTTTTCTTTTTCCTTTTTTTTTTTTTTTTTGGCCTTCGGGTGCCTACCACAAAAGTTTGTACTAAGCCTTACTGGTTGGGGCTGGGGGTGTGGCTCGGGAGTGGAGAGCACACATAAGCAGGAGGCCCTGGGATCAATCCCCAGCCCTGCCAAACAAACAAAAGGCAAAAAAAAGTGTTGCTCAGTGATTGAATGTAAACCTTACCCCCTAGCCTTCCCACCACCCCGCTCCTGGGGATCTTTTAATTTAAACCTAACACTCACATACTTGAAAACTGTTGAAATTCATTCCAGTTACTATCGTTGACCTACCATTTACAAATATCTACTGAAGTTTACTTTCTCCAAGAAGTAGTTCTTTGTTCTCTGGCCTTGCAAAGCAGTTGAGAAGCAGAAAATAGATTGGTAGAACACCAAAGTAGTATTTATATCTTCCCCTCCCCCAATATTAAACGGAAAATAATCTAATTTTATGCTATAAAAATTCAAGCTATACAACAAAATATAGGGGAAAATGACAATTTTTAAAAAATGAGGACAGTAAAGGAACAGAAAGCCAACTTGGAAGAGCTCTGAATAGCTTTGATAGTGCTGAGGATTGAACCTAGGGCTTTGTGCATGTTAGGTGAGCACTCTATCACTAAGCTAGAAACAGTTGAGCAGCAAAATAACAGTATTGGATTTCAACCCAAAATGTTGAAAACACACACACACACACACACACACACACATACACATACATGCTGATATAAATTCTCAAAAAAAAAAATAAAAAATGGACAAATCTTTCTTACAGCATTTCAAACAATATATGTATATAAGCCCCATTAGGAGGTGAAGTTTAATTCTCCTGTTTCTGTGTGTGTTTCATGAATTAGATTTAGTGCTTTCCTTCCAAAGGACAGAATATGGAAGTCAGAAAATAATAATTTAACTGGGGAGAAATACCACCTTAACCAAGCTTCTGAATAGGCTCATAAGAGATTCCTCCCCTTTTTTAAAAAAATTTTTTTTAGTTGCCAGTGGACCTTTATGTATTTATATATGGTTCTGAAAATTGAACCCAGTCCTCACACATGCTAGGCAAGAGATTCCCTCTTCATAGAGAATATTTACAGAAATAGAATCATGGTAACATAATCTGTTAGAGTTTTGTTGTTGTTTTGTTTTGGAGCAAATTTTGCTCAAAATATTGGTGAGTGATGACACCAGCAGAAGTTCTTAATTCCCATGATAAGCTATCAGGAAATAGCTCCTTTTTAAAATTTTAATTGATGAACCAGCTGTGAAACAGGAAATCAGTCATTTTATTAGGATTTCTTTCCAGGAGATATTTTAAATTATGGCACATGAAACAGTTCTGTTCAGATCAAACTTCCTTTATTAAAAGGCTACGTGAGCCCCCAAATCTAACTGCTTCTTAGAGTTTGACTTCTTTTTTGTGAACTTTTATTCAGGTAAATGTTAATAAAAATGGTGTTTTTTTCTTCTGATAATGTCTTTTGTTAGTTTAACTCAAACATCTCTGTGAATAAACCTAAGAGGGTAAGGAAAAGGTTTTCATCCCCAAAGCCTTTCTCTCCTGGAAAGTAATGTAATTCTGAGGGGTGCCTACTAGGTAAGGCTCCTGTCCTCAAGAACATTATAGTTCTTATGGTAGGAAATTCCACATGGATTAAATGTTTAAATGTTAAAGATGAGAAGATAATGTTAATTATGTGATTCATTGACTTGAGTAGGAAAGACCATTCTAATCATAATTTCAAAACTAGAAGCTACTGGGGAAAAAATACTATTGAATAAGACTAGTGGTCTCTAAACTTAAGTATGAGAGTCACCCAACAGGTTTGTTCTCTTGCCATAGAACTTGCCCCCATACACAGCACAACTGCCAGTACATATCATTATAGGGGATGCTTCATTTGCTATGATCATCAACAGTGTGTAGTTCAGCTCACTGACTACTTTGTCCTGCATTATTATCAAATTAGTGTCTGTTTCTGGCTCTGCAGCCACTGACATCCACACATCTTTACCTCTTGTTTCTGGTACACCTTCACAGGTAACAGGCTCTAACACCTCCTAAAGTCTCTCCTCCCTTCTGGCTACTGGCATATCTGGGCTCTCTTGGCCCCTGTTGGCTCCTGGCACACTCGGGCTCTCTTTTGGTCCCTGTTAGCTCCTAGCACACTGGGTTCTCTCTTGGCCCCTGCTGGTTTCTAGCAATCTAAGTCACAAGGTTGTGCAGTATCAATAACATATAGCATATGGACTGTCTTGCCCCTGTTGATTCCCAGCACCCTTAAATCTCACAGGCATGACCACAAAGCAGCCAGGGACTCTCCCAACCTCTGTCTAAATTGTTTTCCAAAGTCCACCATCCACCTGTTGTTCACAAGAACCCTTGGCTGCTGCTGCTTGGTTTTCTGCATTACCACTGTTTGCCACTGGCCAGGCTTGCAGGTATTAATCTTCCTCCTCTTTGAACTCCATCAACAATATGGGGGAAACCAAGAGGTATTTTCAAGGTTCATAAATCCTCCTGCAACTGTACTTTGGCTTCAGAGGCTTCTTTCTTATCTTGCAACTTCCTCATCTTGGCAGTCTGCATCAGTTTTTTCTCTCAAAAAAAAGTTATTTCTTCATCCCACATCCACACTGGCCATGTATGTGGCTCCTCAGGTTTCTTTTTGGTTAAGGCGACTAGCTGTAAATTAGGTGTGGGCACATTGTGTAGATCTTTGAACTTGGTGACATGTAAATTATTATGTTTTTCTTCTAGTTGATCTGGTACAAGCATACACTGAAGAATTGTTCATCTAACCAGACAAGCATGTCTGGTCATGCTCATATATCTGGGCCTCCATCTAGTAAGGATCTCTTTTTCTTTCTCTCCAAGAGCCCACCTATCTTTTTTAAATGCTTGCTGCAATCCATGTCTGTTATGGTTTAGATATGATGTCCCCCAAAAGCTCATGTGTGAGACAATGAAAGAAGATTCAGAAGAGAAATGATTGTGTTGTAAGAGAGTCTTAACCCAATCAGTGAGTTAATTCAGTTCACTGTAGATAATTTTTAATGTAACCTATTTCCTATTATTACTGTTTCCAATGTATTTGCTCTGAAGACAAAGGACTATACTCAGGATAGCATTTAATGCAGTGATCACACATATGTTTAACAAATAAATATTGCATTAAACCTGAGTTATGATAGTAGTTTTTTGTTTGTTGATCAGTGACATAGTTCTTTCACCATAGATTATTTAGCTCTGTTTTATAACAAAAGTCTTGGGTTGTAAAATCTTGGTTGCAGTATACTTGGTTGTTCAATCACAGGTACTTAAAATTAAAGAAGCCATTAGTGCTGAGGCATGGTGGTGCACACCTATAATTCTAGCAATTAAGGAAGTTTTGGCAGAAGGAGCACAAGTTTGAGGCCAGTCTGGACAATTTACCAAGACCCTGTCTCAGAATAAAAAATAATAAATGGGCTGGGAAGTAGCTCTGTGATAAAGCACCCCTTGGTTTAATCCTCAGTACCTAAAACAAAACAAAACAAAAACAAATCATTAGTGTACACCAGGGTGTGTGTGTGTGTGTTAGTTATCAGGGATTGAACCAGGGAGTGCTTACTACTGAGTCACATTCCCAGTCTTTTTTTAAGCTTTTGAGAGAGGGCTGGCCCCAAACTTGAAATTCTCTGGTCTCAGTCTCCCATGCAGCTAGGATTACAGGCATGCAGTGATCACACATATGTTTAATAAATAAAATGGCTGTCTGCCATTTCTTGGAATGGGTAATCTTTACTATTCAAATTTCATTTTTGGCAAAACCTACTGAAAAAAGTGAGCACATCACACCTAATATGCTAAAGCAAATCTTAAATACATTTTAATTAATTAAATATTCTTTTATATACATATGTATATATATATATATATGTCAACTAAATATATATATTTAGTTGTAGATAGACACAATACCTTTATTTTATTTTTTATGTGGTGCTGAGGATCAAATCCAGTGCCTTGCACATGCTAGGCAAGCGCTTTACCACTGAGCCCCAGCCCCAGCCCCATAATTAAATATTCTTTTAAAAAAATTTTTTTTTAGATGTAAATGGACACAGTGTCTTTATTTTTATGTGGTACTGAGGATTGAACCCAGTGCCTCATACGTGCAAGGCAGGCACTCTACCACTGAGCTATAGCCCCAGTCCCCCATAATTAAATATTCTTAAGAAAACAAAACAGAAAATAGTCTGAATATTCTATTGCTGGAGTTTAAACTCCTAAGTTTAGAAACTTAGGTCAAAAAAAGCTTAAAAAGAGTGACATTTGGTTACACAAAAATGAGTTTACTTCTGTAGATGGAAGCTGGAATGAAAGAAACACGATTTGGAGGATATATGACAAATGAAAGATAATTATTTATCAGTATCAAACCCATTAATATTCATTCAGTGGATAAATGAGTCAAGAAAGGAACAAAGCTAGTTCACAAATGGGAAAATAAAATAATAAACATGGAAACAGATGTGATCAGGTGCATTCAGGCTGGTAGGACCACAGACTAAACATGGAAACATATCCAGGTCCTGGGTAATCAGAAAAAAATGCTTATTAAAAAAAGAAAAAGAAAATTAAATTACAGCCGGGCTTGGTGCACAGCCTGTAATCCCAGCAATTCATGAGGTAAGGCAGGAGGATTACAAATTCAAGGCCAGCCTCATCAATTTAGTGACATCTTGTCTCAAATCAAAAATAAAAATAGTGGGGATATAGTTCAGTGGTGGAACACCTTGGTCTCAATCCCAAGTACTGTTATAAATAAATAAATAAATAAATAAGTAAATAAAATTAAATAAATAAAATTTTAATTTAGAAATTATATATACATATATGTAATAATCAGAAAAATGCATATTAAAAAATAAATGGTCCCTTTTGTCTGTCAAATTTTAAAATTATATATCTGCCAAAATGTAGAAAAATGGGTTAATTCATACATTGTTAATATATTATAAATAAGAATAATTATTTTGGAAAGCGATTTAGAATATTAGAATTCATTAACACAGGATGTCTACCAATGCAGAAATGATAAAGAAAATTATTATCCTGGTTTGGGGATGTAGCTTAGGGGAAAAGGACTGGTGTAGCATTCATGAGGCCTAGAGCTCCACCCCAGTACCTCAAAAATAACAAAAACTAATAAAAACTCTTAACAAAACTATGATTTAATACATATCTATTAAAATAGGAAAACAGTGTAGAAACAGGAAAATGCTTGTAACTGATAAAAGCAGGATACAAAACTGTGTATATATGAAGGTTTCAATTATCTGAAAAACTTTCGTTTATACAAAACAACAAGAATAAAAGAAACAAGCACAAGAATGGAAAGACAGACCTAAGTAGCAATAGCATTATAGGAACACTGGAGTTTGAGTGATCTTTACTCTTGTTTTCCAAATGCCCTGTAACGGTGTAATGCGATAAATTGATTTTGTTGTTGATCTGAATTTACTGAGGCCATGGGAAATGACCTGTTGTTTCTATAATCAGAAATAAAACAACTGCGTGGGGGTGGGGGATGTAGCTCAGTGGTAGGCACAGCACACAAGGTCCTCCAAGGTTTAACCCCCAGCGCCTAGAAGGGGGAGGGGTAAGCAAATAAGCAAACATGGACCTTAAAAAACAACAACAACAACAACAACAAAAAACCACAACTTAAAAGTCTAGGAGGCAGATAAAGCTGAGAAAATTGTGTTATCTAAAGTCAGTTCTGGGTGAAATTAATTGTAAATTCAGCCCTGATTTCTTTTTCTTTTGCAGCTTCTTCCAAGGCTCCTGGTAAAGACTCATTTTGCAAGTGATAAGAGAAGTTACCCGAACTCATCCACACAAACATTGAACGTTCCCAGGTTCCGTATGATATTTGAGCCTTAATCTAAATCTCTAAGTGAAACCCTAACGTGGAATTTCATGCCTCACTCAAGTGGTGAATGCGTGTTTGCCAGTATAGCTGAAAACACTGCACCAAGATGTTATCAAACTACCAAGCAAAAAGTGAGTCCCGGTTAGCGCTGCAATGGAAATGGATTCTATTTAAACGAAAAACGTGCGGACCCAGGAAACTTTCGGCCGGATCTGCGGGCACTGAGCGAATACAGTAACCTCCCTGCCGCAGGCAGGCATTAGCGCGTGGAGACGTAGGCTGGCGCAGAGTGGCGGGGCGGCGCGGCCCCGCCTCCGGAAGGTGCGCAACTGGGCTTCCGGCTCGGCTGTCATCCCTCCCGCACTTCCGCCTCAGGCTGTCGGCGTGGCGGTGGAATGGCGGGCTCTGAGTTGCGTGCAGCGCTGGAGCAGCGACTCGATGCCCTTGCCATCCGCACGGAGGTCGTGGAACACCCCGAGGTGAGGCTTTCGCGTTAGGCGTGACTACAGGGATAGCCCTGGCCAGAGCAGGTGCTCGCTCACTGCAGGTCCATCCGCCGAGGCCGTGGAGATCAGGCGTTCCAGGGGTGATGTACAGCAGAGTGCTTTCGATTAGGACTGTAAGGTTGTCCTGAAACTTGTTTTCTTCTTGGAGTGACTTGATCACATACTGTGTTGAGAACTAGTTCAAAATATGGAAAACTTGTGCATCTAACCGGTCTGGTTGTGGTCCGTTTGTCCACTTTGTGTATATAAAGTGATACAAAGCACCAAACCGCCTATTTAGTGGCCCCTACGTACAGCCGGAGGTGAGGGGTTGATATTTTGCAGTCATGGATCAGTTTATCACACTTTATCAGTTTATTACACTTTACCAGCATGGCAAAAATCACCATTCCCTCCAAAAAAAAAATGGTTGCGAATATGCACATTTTAACATTTTTTAAGACATATTTTTAGATGTTGATGAACCTTTATTTTACTCATTTATTTATATGTGGTGCTGAGAATCGAACCCAGTGCCTCACAGGTGGAAGACAAGAACTATACCACTGAACCACAACCCCCAGCCCTTAACATGGTTTAATGTACTAATGTGAATATTTGTACGTTTCCTGAAACTAGTGTAACTTGAGTGGTGCAGGGGCATAAAGCTTACCCAAAAGTGACAGTCGATAATGGCTAAAATGGCGATCTCCAAAGACTAGAATACAAAATTAGTATTCCTTACCTTTACAAATCCAACATCAAGACTGTTTTTCTGACCTTCCTCTCTTCCATATGGTCTCTGACATCCTCGCCCCCCACCTTTTGGTACTGAGGGGTGCTTAACCACGGAGCCACATTCCAACCCCCAACCCCCGCTTTTTGAGATAGGGTCTGCTAAATTGCTGAGGCTAGGTTTGAACTTGCAAACCTCCTGCCTCAGCCTTCTGAGCCACTGGGATTACAGGTGTCGCTAGGATTACAGGTTGTGCCACTGTGCTGGGCTTTACCTGTGCATATTGCCAGATTTTTTTGATGCGTTTTATGTAAGTTTCCAAGTCTTATGCAGCTGTCTACTTTTAATACCCAAAGTTTGAAGTTTTTTTTTTTTTTTTTTTGGAATGTGAGAGCATGCTTGGCTGCACCTTGGAATGGAACACTGGTCTAAAGAGAAACTGCCTGAGATCCTAAGATGAGGAATTGAGAAAAGGGATTGTAAATATTTCATAATGTGTAAGTATGTATATATGCATATTAATTCCTAAACTTCTCATATATGTGATTATTTTGTAGGTGTTTACAGTTGAAGAAATGATGCCTCATATCCAGCATCTGAAAGGAGCACATAGTAAGAACCTATTTCTTAAAGACAAAAAGAAAAAAAACTATTGGTTGGTGACAGTTCTTCATGATAGACAAATTAATTTAAATGATCTTGCCAAACAGTTAGGTGTTGGGAGCGGAGGTCTGCGATTTGCTGATGAAACAGTAATGCTTGAAAAACTGAAAGTTGGTCAAGGCTGTGCCACACCTCTGGCCCTCTTCTGTGATGATGGAGATGTAAAATTTGTTCTGGATTCTGCTTTTCTGGAAGGTGGACACGAAAAGGTATACTTTCATCCAATGACCAATGCTGCAACCATGGGATTGAGCCCTGAAGACTTTCTTACATTTGTGAAGATGACAGGACATGATCCCATAATACTAAATTTTGATAAAAATTAATGCTCCGAATAACTGTATTTCTGAAAACTGTCTTTCTTGTAATTTTATTTTTTTAAAATGAATTATATATAAGATTTATTGAATCTTTTAAGAATTCAGGCCTAGAAGAAAATAGGCCTTGGGGTGAAGGTAAGGACATGGAGTTTTTATTTTATTTCTGGTACCCTATTTTATCCCCTACTCCCCACTTTTTTTTCCTGGTAATGAAAGTGAGTACCAGGAGGCAGGAACAGGGGAGAGAAAGGGGAGGTATTGGAGGGAAAAAAAATGACCATATTATATAGTTATATTGTGTTCCTGTACAAATATGTAACAATTCACTATTTTAAATTATATGAAATAAAAATCAAAAAATTGAAAGTGATAAAGTAGTATCTTTGGTTTTGGGATTGTGGCTCAGTGGTAGAGTACTTGCCTACCATGCATTGAGGCACTGGGTTCCATCCTCAGCATCACATAAATGTAAAATAAAGATATTGTGTCCACTTAAAACTAAAAAGTAAATATTAAAATAAATAAATAAAAAAGATGGAGTTGGGCGAGGTGGCACAAAACTGTAATCCCAGTGATTCAGGAGGCTTAGGCAGGGGGATCACAAGTTTGAAACCAGCCTCAACAACTTAGTGAGACCTTAAGTAACTCAGTGAGACCCTGTGTCAAAATAAAAATGAAAAAGTATGGGATTATAACTTAGTGGTGAAATGCCCCTAGATTAAATCCTCAGTACTGAAAAATATAAAAGACATACTGAGGTAGTTTTAGTCAACTCAGATCCTGTTTTCCATCTCCTATAACAGTAAGTCATTACAGGAATGCCTTAAACAATTAGGAACGCTTAGCTTTAGCTAGCTTACATCTTTAGAATGCTTATTGTACTTGAAAAAGCAAGCTGAAAAACAGTGTGTGTGAAATTTACACATGGTAATGTACATAATACAATAAAAAAGGAATATATTAAATTGTTATTATTTCGGAAAATGGGGATTAAGGAATAAGGATTCCCCAACAAGATAATTAAAACAAACATGGGAGAGAAGGATAAAAACTCCGTTGTTGGGTGTTCCATTGATTTTTATGCCATTAAAAATGATTTATTATCTGGTTCAGAGGTTATAAATCTGAACATACTTCCACAAGTTTCTTCTGTCCTTTAGGGTATTTTACTACACTACTTCTAGGATTTTACTCATTCAATTATGACATCTGAAATAGTATAAAAGCCTATAAAAATGTAGTTGGTTGTCATATAGAAACTAGTTAAAAAAACCAGAAAATTTGACTTTTTTTCACTTCACTTAGAATCAAACAAAAGCCTTCTTTAACTGAGGATCTGACATGGTTTAGATTACAAGAATTCCTGTTGTGGGTCATTAAAATTCACATACTTTTCTCTAGTACATAATCAAATGGGATGTTACTGAAAGGTAAAATAAAGGTAATGATTACCTGACTGTAAGGTTCCATGTTAGTTTTTAACTAGTCTGTACTGTATTTCTAAGACAATAGTGACAATAGTAATTTTAGGTTGCTTTGCACATAAAATGAAGGAATAAAATCACAATTTGAGGACCTTGAGAAGCTTGTCTGATGGTGAAAACAGGTCTAGGAGGTCTGATTGCCTCCCAAAGTCTGTAATTTTGTGCAGTCTAGTACACTGGTCCCCACTTCTCTGCAGTTTTGCTTTCTGAGGTTTTAGTTACTCATGGTCAACCACAGTCCAAAAATATTAAAGTGAAAATTCCTGAAATAATTCACAAATTTTAAACTGGGTGTTGTTCTTAGTAGCATGATGAAATCTCACATCTCATCCAGCTTGGGGTATTTATCATTTCTTTTTCCAGTGTATCTATGCTGTACCAGCCCTTTAGTCACTTAGTAGCCCTCTTGGTTACCAGACTGACAGTGGGTCAACCGTGTTAGGATCAACTGTAGTGGTATCAACTGTGTTAGGATAACTGTAGTATTGCTGTTCAAGTAATTCTTAGGTAGTAGTAGTCTAATGCTTTGTTACAATTTCTACATCATTGACCTCACCCCCCTTACTTCATCACATTATTTTTATCATTTGACATCTCATGAGTGAATACAATAAGATATTGAAAGAGATTACACTCATGTAACTTTTACTATAATGTTATAATTATTCTATTATTGGTTACTAGCATTAATGTCTTACTGTGTCTATAAACTTTTATCATAGTTATGTATGTCATAGGAAAAAACAGTACATATAGAACTTGGTATTACTTAATACTTTTATCAGGGATCCACTGGGTTTTGGCCTATTTGGGGGGCCAATATATGTAAACTGTATTTATACCTATTTTGGGATTGAGAGAACTGACAGACTCTTCACTTTCTCCCCAAACCTCTAATACTCATCCCAGTATGATAAGAGCAAAGTAATCTGAAGTTAGGAATTACATTTGAAAGTAGTTCTCCAGGGTACAGAATGACACTTGGTTAAAATTATGACTTAAAAATGATTACTACTTCTTGTAAAAAATCACCTTTTATTTTTTATATATCAGTCTGAAAAGTGAATGTTAATCCAACTTTTTAAAGGAGAAACAAAGTTAAAAGCTAAGTTGAAAATGAATGTTTTTAAAAGACAAATCAAACAATGGTGCCTCTTTTCACGAGTTGGATTTCTATGGCTGATATTAAGTATTGCCAAGTAATAAACATTTTGCCATTCAACTCCAAATTCTCATCAGCATTAGTTTTAAAGGAAATGTTACAGTTATATATTGATTTGGTATTTAATAACAGTTGTAAGTACAATGGCAAACACTGAAGAAAGAACCCTTAGAAAAGAAAAAGGCCATTTAAAATCAGGTTTTGTTAATGGGGGTTGTAAGTGCAACATTATCCGTTAAGCATTCCTTTTAAGGCATTTCATTATCCAAATAACATGTACATCAAGTTTGTATGTTATAAAATGGGCTCCTTTTGTATTACTCATTCAAGGCTTTAAGAAAAAAAACACATTTTGGGATTAAGCAGTTGAAAAGAAAAACACAAAATTCACTTTTCTTTTAAAAAGTAACTTAAAATACAAAAGTAATTTAGAATACATTATTATTCCCATTATAATTTCAGATTTGGTACAGTATCATTTTCATTTCCTGACATAATCTGTTAAGACAGTACAGGTTGTAGAACTTGATCTGTGAGGTGGCTGCAATTCTATTACACGCACGGTGGTTTTTTAAAATAGGCCCTTACCATGCCTGGCATGAAAGGTGCTACATACGAACCTGTCTTATAAACTCTTTGGTAACCACCAATTCAAAAACTTGGACCAAAACATTTCCACATGGCTAGATTTGAAGCACATGATTACAGCTCTAGGCCAAAGTTATTACCCTGTATATTGAATTTTTCAGTTTCCTTAGGGGTTTTAGGTATTGATTCAGAGTAGAACCAGAAAATTAAAAGTATGTCTGGCTCATCAGGAATAGGCCCTGGTGAGTTTCCAGTTGGCTTTACTATTTTGTTTGACAGAAGTTTATGTATGTAAGGTAAAAGAGTGGCTTCCTACATGTTTGCTTCTGGCGGTAGCTTTTGGAGAAAGTAAAATATTCATGTGGTTATTATCTAGTCCTTTCTTGAAATGGTATGAAAAAGGTGATGAATATAATTGAGAGTATTTGTTATTTTTACAGTCTCACTATGTCCCCTTGTTTGATTCTTTTCAATTGTCCTTTTAGATCAGCCTTTTTAAATTTAGTACTTCAAAGGCTGTCATTCAGCATTTTCTGTAGAAACAGTAATGTGCTGGTTAATTCAGCAGATTCTCTATTTTAGAATATTAGTATCCTGGAGAGGTGAAAGTGTGATATTCATCTTCATTGGGCCACCTCACACTCATTAAATTTCAACTTTTCAGTAACAGTTCTGGGATGTGTCCTAGCTGTGCAAATTAGATGCTAGTTAATATAAATCTAAGTTACCCACTTACTGTATTTAGCTAAAACATAATGTCTACATTTACTTTCAACTTACCCAACCAAAAATAAATTTACATTTTTTACATGCAAAGTGTCTCTAGACTGTCATGATACCCATTTACCAATTTGATACTTGAATCAAGGGAGTCGTGATAGAGAGATCTCAAAGTCTAGAGAATAGATTTTGAATATTTCTGTTGTGCAATATTTGTATTTCAGTAAGAATCCTTTGTATTTACATTTATATAGCACCTTTCATCCAAGAGTTTCAAAGAGATTTAACTTTATTTGGTGGCAAAACCTACGTTAATGATGACACTGAGTTAATAAATCCAAGTTCTCTAATTTTCATTTCTATTTCTGGTCAGCTAAACATGCTGTCTCTCTTTCTTTTTTATTGATGGTCTTTCCAAAGACAACTATAAATACAACACTGCTAACCAAAAAGAGAGACAGATGGACGGAAGGGGAGAGAGGCTATTCTCATGGCTACTGGGTTAGTGATGATACACACACAGTTCATAAACCACATATTAAGGAATAAGGAATCATTTCTAAAAAGTCCTTTAGAGCTGGTAATGAGAGCCTAAGAAGTGTGCTATTAAAATAAAAAATAGTCAATATCTTATTTCAGAAGACTATTTGATATTTATTGTTAAGTAATGAATTTGTATTAATGAGTATCAATGCAGTTTTTTGGACTTCATAAGAAAATAAAACTGTGATATAAAAATTGGAACTACTAAAAAATGATGTTTCTCTGGGTTAACTAAATCTACTTTTTTGTGCTTCTTCCAAATGTTTAAGGTAACAAATGCATACAAATATTTCAAAAGTACCTGTTATTCAGTTTTCAACTTTAATGTAATATTATAAAGAACAAAAACAGAAAAGTTCTTATTAATAAATGATAACCTTAATAATAAATGAGTTCCTGGCAAAATGCAGATTGTAATAAATTATTTACATTATTTTTGCCATAAGAAAACTTCTTAAGCAACAGTCAGCTCTCAAGTTAAAAAAAAAAAAAAAAAGAAAAGAAACATACGTAGCCCAACAGTAAA